TAAGTGATACAGTGTGATTCATGAGACCATGAACTAAAGCTACAAACAATTATTGATTTTTGTTACATGATGACTTATGATGGAGCTATTATATCATAAATATCTAATAAATTACAACATGCAATAATAATCAGATTAGCCATCTTTTAAAGCATTCTACAGTAATATACATCTGGCTTTAAGACTACAGTATGAAAAGTGAACAAAGGGCCATAACTCTGTGTTTATAGGTGACCCGGCTTTTGTGTAATACTTAATAGTTAGGGTCACGCTCATTGTGATTTCCTAATTATCGGTGGATCAAAAAATTCCCTGTTGCACCACGGTAACCGGTAATCAATATTCATATTATTTTTAATTCTTCTTTTTTTAAATCTGACCCAAAAAACGTACCTGCGTACTATACCCCAGTGCAAACTATACCTGCAAATTTACGGTACTTAGTCATTGAAACATACACTCATATCTTGACACCTGCTGACATACCCTGAAAGCCTCATTTTCTACAAAGTGACTCAGTTTCAGTCCCACCTTCACAGGGTCATATTTTGACAGCACCTGGTGTCTTTTGTAGAATAAAGGTTGTAGACTGACTCTTTATCATACATGTAATATTGTAACAGAGGGTTTCGAAAGGCATGAGATGAGGCATTTTTTTTTTAAAAACTCATTTTGGGGGAAAAATGGTGAAATGGGAAGGAAATTTTCAGTATTAAATTCCCAGTTTTAGAATTCCCGGAAGGGACATGAATAGGTATGGATCACCTGCCCGACCCAGTGGATTTTCTGGCTTCCTTGACAGTAAGATCCCTAGTATGCTTCTATCCGGGCCAACAAAAGTGATTAATATCAGCAGATAGCTTGTTTCACAATTGTTGACTAATAAACAGAGTTCATATCATATCATTCTAAAAGTGCCTGCATGCAGAATTTTGTATGTATATGAGGAAGTATGTATAAGGTAGTCAAGTGCATGCCTACGTAACTATACCCTAAATTTCTGGTCAATACTGCCTTGTGTTTAGATCAGACTGATAATGAATCTCTAGACTATTACTCCCCAGCTGTACCCAAGTACAAGGACAAACTGGACATCATTAGCCCCCTAAATCAGTACTGAAGTCTGGAACTAATTAGGATTACCTTCTATAGATACTACAAAAGAATTACACAGTAATATCTACAGGGCAGATATTATTGTTGTTAATGGTTGGTCAGCTTAATGGATAACTTACTAATACCGTATATAACCATAAATAAGCACTTCCCAAAAATACGTCCCATCTTTCATTTTTTGCAGAATCATCAGTTTCTTTAGCAAACTAAAAGTAGGTCATAAAAAACTTAAATACACCCCCCCCCTCTATTTTTAATACTAAAACTTTACACTAGCAGATAGGGTTTCTTTGAGGAAAAAACAGCATAGTAATATATATCCCCACCATTCAAATTTGAAAACTCTTAACCAAATCCCCACATATTTAAGTCCATTTTTATATTAATTTATAAAATGTTCAAAGTTTGTATCCGATGAATTACTTCTTCACATAAAAGTTACAACAAACCAAAAACACATAAGACCCTTGCAATCAATAAGTGCCAAATATAAAAAGTTAAAAATTCCAGAAAGACAGCTTTCCTACTGACTTGCCTTTTATTTTTAAATGAAACACACACAAAAACCTACCATCTAATGAGATGGTTATGTGTGAGTACTTCAGCCCAGTCAAGACAACAGAACACCTTTCAAGCTACCAAGAGTTCCATGTACCCGGGTATTTGATCAATAGGGGGTGAGGTGTGCTTTATCAGTTTATTTTTTGGCTTGACTATATGGCCAGAGATTGAATCAAAGGATGACAATGTAGCCAAAAAGAATTTTACATGATTAGAAGGCCTTTACTACTGAATAAAATTGGATGTAAAAAAGATTCACAATGATATAGAGTATTACATACAAACATATCTTAACAACCTCTGTTTAAGTTCCCTTTGTAATGCAATTCTTTGGAATTGAACCTCTATCTAAAGGTCATCTGTGTATACAGACCAGTTTTCTCTGCTCCCTGGAGTGGCCTTTATAGACAGGTTTGACTGTATGTAGATATGAATCATAATTATAGTGACCTTTTTAAAATTTAGTTATAGAATATTTGAGAGAAAAAAATACAAAAATGAGGCTGCAGACAAATAAACATTTCCCTCAGATGATCAATTTCTCCAATATTACACTGCACAATGCACAATATAAAATCATCTCAGAATTGGTTTAAGTGTTAGTGTTTCTGTCACATATCCTGTTTCTTTAATATCAAGTATTTTGTAATTAACTTAATGAAGCAATCTATTGTATAGATTTCCAGAAATAACATATTCATCACCCAATATGCCTATTATAGGTAATATTTAATTTCTGTTCAGGAAATGTTTTTGTCCTCTAGACTTACTGGATTAAATTTGTACATGCATATCATAAAATCTTTCTATCTGACAACCAAATAGTGACACCTGACAAACCTACTGAATCTAGGACATATAAAATATGGCAGACTGTGCATGCATTGCTCAAACATCTACAATGAATGCAAAGAAAATTAATTAATTTTAATATAATTTTATGCAACTTTTTGTAAACCTATAGTCATAATACATGCATATAGATATACAGTCTATATCACTGTAGCTTAAAGCATTATTTAAATCAAAGGGGGTGATAGACAATCCAAATGCAGTTCTCTAGATTTTCAATGTGATTTTACAAATCTCCAAATTTCTGTTTATAGTGTATAAGATTTATTGACATTCAATAGATACCATTATCCTGCTTACATTGATATTATTATCAGTACACCATGTAAGCCCATCATATCAAACATTTTTTAATAGTCTATCAGGATCAGACAGATGTTTGAGCCAGTTGAAATACTGTCCTAAACCTGAAATCTCACTGGCCAGATTCATGGATAGAAAAATCACCGGTTGTGAGATATTATAATTGTATTTCCTGATTTCACTAGTTCTGTATGCCTGAATGTGTTTTTGTACACATACCATTGTTTTGACTGTCTGACAGCTGGTCTACTTCCCGATAGACCTAGATATTAAGTAGGACTCCAGTACAAAGTTTAACAGGAAGTGTACTATATAATGATATACCTGTCAAGTACTAGTGCCATATATATATATATATATATACACACAGTGGTAAGTTAGAATATAGTGGCCTAGTTACTACACAAATCCTAGTGTAATATCACACTTTAAGTTTACAGGGGGTATAAATACACAAACTAACTCCATCAAAGTATTTTTACCAGGTAATATGTCAAGCTAGAAGGAAGGGGGACTTATATACACACTCTCAATCAAAGTAATGAAGTGGGTTATATTTACCAGGTGATAAGTCAAGACAGAGGGAATGAGACTTTCAATATAGACACACTTTCAAAATATCATCAAATTAATCAGATGGACTCACTCTGTATTATTTCTCTGATGGATGATAAGCCCATCTATATATCTATCATCAGCAGAGATTTACATATCGATATTATCCTATCTCACATGCATTTTCATAACAATTCACCAATCCAATTGATTCCACAATAATGACTGGCTGATGTGGATGACGATGATGATGACAGTCTGGCTAGTAGAAGTCTCTGGTTTCTTGTTTTGGACTGGTAGCCTCTCTATTATAATGACCCAACGAAAACAAAACACCCACAGAATTACACTGCCATGTCTTCAAATGACTTACTTATATTACAAGTTTAAGCTAAGCTTGTTTAGGCTGTTGTTCATCAACTGAAGTGTATATTTTTGAGATTTAGCCAGTAACATTTTAAGACTGTGACAGCTCAGTCCATGAGCTGTGGTTTCTGGTATAATATTCCTTCATTCCTGAGGCAGTTTTTGATTCTCATAAAACTGAAAAACGAACCTGCCTGTGCTGTTGTGCTCTTGTCTATGGACAAGACAAAATGCCTTGTATTAGTTGCTGTGAATGGCATGTGACAGGCGTATCATTTATTATTCGGTAAGATAGCCAGCAGCAAATACAAAGAGACATTGTCACTAAATTAACCTTGTATACCCAAATTACTCTGGTTGTTCACAAGGTGATAAATCCTAACAAAATAAACAAGTAAAACCAGACCCTGTCTCATACCTTAGTGAAAGTAAGTGACTACTGTATATAGGAAAACCCCTGAACTGTTGATTACATCAGATTTTTTTATTTTGTCTTTGTTGAAGTCTTTATACTAATAATTCTTTATTTTCAGAGGGTAACATGTACAAGGACAGATGTACTCATTTTCCAGAAAAGAAACTTCTACTTGTTGATGTCTTTTACAATGTAATTTTAAAAAAAAATACAATGTGTATGTCATAAAACCTCTGTTTCATAAAAAAAAATGTATTCTGTCAGAAAACGTTACAACCTTCAAACAGTTAACTGGAATTGTCAATACAGAGGAAATTGAATGTAAAAGATTTTTTTTTGGAAAATAATCATAATAATAGTTTTTGCATCATTCATGGTTAGAATGAATTTCAACTTTCATTTTCATATGCAAAAATGTAAAACACATTCTGAGAATTTCAGTGAGATTTCTAACAAAAACGTGGATAAAATCCCTACCTATCTCGGTCATCATGAAGTGATCCAGGTTTTAGATTGTTTTGTAGCACTAATTTGGAGAACAAAAATTTAACAAGCTCCTGTGGAATTGGGGGGAAAGGTTTTCACAGTCAAACGCGTATCACGTTATTTATTGGTAATATTGGTAATTTGATCTAATTTCGATAATAAAGCAAGAAGGAATATTTGTTTAAAGTTTTGAAACAATTTTGTGGGGTATTTCATTAGCTGTGATCAAACGCTAGATATACCAAGATAATTATTATAAAACAAGAAAGAACCACGTATCTTGATAACAAAGATGACGAGAAGATTGTGGTAGTCAACGTAACCAATCGTACGGATAGGATCTTACCGTGTTCTGTAAAAGCGACGTGCAAGCGAACGCTTCCATTCCTGGAATATATCACGCTTCTGTTCCTCTTCAGAAATAACATGGGATATTCTAGGTTCTTCCACGGCACAACGAGCTTCGGCCATCTCCTACAGCTCTGACGGAGGAAACACAAACTTCTGTTGTTCTCCTGTCTAATGAGCTTGTAAAGTTGTCTGCTAACAGTTTCTAATTAAAATTTATAGGATTCACGCATTTATACGGACAACGAATTTCTTAAAATATTTTATATTTCGTCACTATTCTGTGGATAAAGCCATACTGTTGTAATTATATTGTATTAATGGAGAATATTTTATCCACAACAACAGAAAAATAACTAAATATAATTCAAAATTCCAAAAGGTATTCCATTTAAAACCTAAAATTTGTAAAATAATTTACATTTTGCAGATGCCCTTGTCTTTATCGATGAAATGTTTGCATCGATGGCAATTAAAATATCTAACGCAGAGCGTGCTGAAAACCAAGATAATATCAGAATAAAACTCTCGATACCAAAGGGAAATGATAGAATATCGAAATATCAAAAATAAAAAAGAATGCGTATTTCACAAATTTTAATACTCCGATCACATAGAAATAGGATATTTCTTTTCCGTTGTGGCAGAAAACAATTTTTAGCTGAGTAAAAATATGTATGTCAATTTCTGTCACGTGACTTTTGGTGATCGGAAGCTGGCGAGCACGGTAACAACCGAAAGGGTCTTATTGTGATCGTTAGTTTATTGAGCATTGACTTTGATTTTTTGACTCGGAGCACAATTCAGTTCAACTTAAACTACATTGCACATGTGCAAATAGCGCGAAACGGTGAAGTATTTATGCAAAAATCATCTTTGTTGTAATGAAAGGGGTTTATTATTGTCCGCCATCTTGAATAATATTTTTGGTACTTTAATCAATGATTTCGTAAACGTATCATCATTTTAGGTTGTTGGCCACATGTTATGACTTATTTACATCATGATTTATTTTAATATGATGCATGTGATGTGTCATAGTCATTAAGATAAAGGTTTGACGTTGTCTGTCAGTATCACGTGGGGAAACATTAAGAGTTATGTCCCTGTGACCTACTTTTCAGACATTATAATATACAGTTTAATTAGAGGATCATTGAACTAATGAGAATGGTTATTTGAAATTTAAGTATGCTATAATTCCAATACATACATTCATACTTTTATGAAGATTATTCATAAGATTTGTTTGAGACATTTCTCATGTATGTTAAAAGAATTTGCATCTTTTTCTTACACTGTTGAAAAATTAACTTGTTTAAATGGAAGAAACGGAACTAAAATATTAATGAAAATGTTTTGTTTTTAAACTTCTGCTAATTCTCTTCCTTTTCTGCAATAATGCTGCAACATTTTTAATTACACCATTTGATCATATTTCCTCTGAAAGGGACATCACTCTGTTTCATTTTAAGGTAAATGATAAATCTGCTGCATTCGCTACATAAGGTGATCTGCAATTAAAATTTTAAATTAATGAAGATATGAATCAGGTTTGACATCTTTTTCACAATTTGCCTTGTGAATATGAAATTGTTGATAACATCGAGGTTTTTTAAGTGAAAAAAATAATTGCAGATTGTTGTATAAAATCTTCATCAACATTTAGAAAGGATTCCAAATATTAATGCTACAAAAACAGGTGAATATTGTCTATTCTGTTGCCATATGCAGATGCACAATGATTGCTTACTGGTCAAGAAAACAGATTTTACAAAGTAAAAATACCAAACAAACAAACAAAAAATTTTTTAAGTTATTAAGGTACATTGAAAACTAATTTACCAGTCTCCTTCGTTGATTTCAGGGTTTTCACTTATTTTTCATAAATGATGTCCTTGAATTTGATTTGCTTGTTACATGCGAGCTTTCCTTTATTCTGTGACCTTCCAGTGAGTTCTTAATCTTGATACTATAATAAGCCCATCTTTGGAAATAAGCCTATCTATAAATACTACTATTTAGTAAAATTCCTAACAAATACCTATTTAATTTTCCTGTAAGCGTACCTTCTGTTTTCATTCAAAGCTGTAATGTTTTTTTTATTTGTTCATTTTATGTTTGTAAGATTTTATATATAGACATATATGCATGTGCATTAGACAAGACATGCATACACTCGGACAAATCCACCCTTGGATACATCAATACATTACTTTTATGAATAAATTCTTTAACATCATCATTAAAACACACACAAGTACACTGTTCCTCTTCCACTGATACACATACAACCATATAATATGAAGGAAGACAAATTAAAGGAGTAAAAAAATTAAAACAGAAACATTAAGGACGACCCTCTGTGAAAAATACGATACAGGCGTCAAGTTTCTTCATGCTCAATACGTGTTTAGAATTTGTATCAGTGTTTGAAATCAGATTAAAAGTCATCATAGATGATTGGTTAAAGAATTTGGTGTGTTTAATTATTTCTTTTGTTGTTTGTCAGTTTTCGATATTTAAATGGTGAATAATTCCAATATAATTTGATAATACCAACATGCATAATATTTCCATCAAATCTCAAATTATCTTGGCTATAGGTTGTCAATTTTTGACAAAAAAATTTGAATATAAAGATAACACTAGTTATGCTTCCCCTTGACTTTTAAGGCCATTTTTTAAAAAAGGAATTTTAAAGTTATGATTTTTCCCCTATACAAACCAAAAATTGAAAATTTTTGCCAATCTACTTATCCCAAATTTAAAAAAAAATAATGTGATAAAGGAAATATATTTTTTCTGTTATGTCTAAATTACATTTCATTATGTTTACAGATTTCACCATGTAGAACCCCTTCTTCTGACAGCCACTGACTGCTACAGTAGTCAGAATTTGGTATATCAGATTCAGGTACAACAGGTAAATATAGAATCCTTGCTCTGTTAATAATCCCATCTATATATCTGATCGTTCAGTAAAATTACAGAACAATGCTGTTATATTGTCCTGTTTGTAAGCTAATACAATAGATTACAACAGGATGAAATTACTTCTTTTTTTTAAGATTTTAATTTGATTTTGATCAGACAGTGAAACATTAAACATAAACAATTAGATATTTTGCACCTGTTAAGATGACACAATATCAATTTGTCTTTCCTTTTTCAGACAAGATGGTGAAAAGAAATTCAAACACGCGAGCTCCTCGGCGGAGTAGCGGACGTACCATTGGGCTTGAGTTAATGATGGATTGTCAGAATGAGGATCTGTCACCAGCACAGCTCCAGTACATGAAAAAATGTCGTCTTGAATTTGACAACGCCATGGCCATGATTAAGGCTGCTCAAGCGAAAGCGAGGGCTGGGAAGGCGACAGTTTCTGTTCAGAAAGTTCACATGAAAAACATTCCACCACCCAAAACGATGGGTACACCGCTAAATCAACAGAAACAAGGTATGTACTTGACATTTCATGTAAAGTCTTAAGAAATATTAGGGTTCCATACGGGAAATTACCAACATGTCAGAAGAATTTTAATTCCAGTTAAAAATTTATGAAATAGAACAAAATTTGATCAGGTCTATTTTTAATGGTGATCACTGAAAATACACATTAAGAATAAGAACAGGTGTATGAGATGGGGAAGTATCTTCTGCTCTAAAGTGTCTAGTAAATCTTTGAATGAAGTGGTCTTTTTATTTTAAATAAATTAAGTAATAAAAATGATGTTGGGGCTGGAGTTTTGATTAAAGAATTTATTTTATCTCAGCCAGTTAGAAATAGTAGATGCATCTGAACTATTAAGTATTTATTTACAGCTCCTGTGTGTAACATAACTTTCAGGTAACTGGTAATCAAATAAACATAGCAATTTGAAAACTTATCAACAGAATCTGATTTTTGACAAGGGAGGTAATTCAAAACTAACGTCCAGAAAGGTGTTTAGAGGGATGGAAATTAGGCCTTTAATAGCTGAAATAAGTATGTATTCTTCATTCATCGCTTAACTTGACTTCATATCAAGGTTTTACATTTGAAATTTTTTCTTTGCACTAAAATATACATATAATGACTTGCAAGTATAATAAATATCAAATGAAAAAAAACTGCCGTATGTTGTTTTGTTCAATTTATTTTGACAACATTTAACCATTAATATTGGTTCCTATATCCATTGTCAATGTAATCATGGCTTTATAATTTCAAAGTTAATTTGATAGTGTGAATATTTCTGTTTTGAAAAATTCTATTATGAACAAATTGATTTCTGTTTTATCTTTAATATAACTTCAATATTTATTTGTAATAACTGTGGCATTCATTGTTTTATGAATTTCAAATTAATTACATAGTCATAAGTATGAAAAATAATGATTTTGAAAAGTAGACCATTTAAAATTTCTGTTGCTATTTAATTTATCTGTATGTTATTACTAAAACTTTAATGTTTCATTTGAAGAACTTTCAGCATTCATAGTCATATGAATTTCAAATTAATTTGATAGTATAAATATATTCATTTTTAAATAATAACTTGTAGGTTCTAATGTTTATGTATCTGCCTTAAATATTATTGTAGTGCTTGTACGTTCTCAATTATATAGCTCAACGATCCACAAGTCCTGACGTTATCTTTGTGGGGGAGAGTCCGCCCCCTCCAACTCAAAAGACAACACAAAAGACTGTGACTCCTGCGCCCCAACCACAACCCCCACCTTTATCCAAACCTCCAGTAATCAGCAACAATATGCAGACATCTGCCTCCATGATGACTAACGTTCAGTCTGGGGCTCCACAATACATCCTTAGGGGCAGCAACTTAGGAAACAACATGGTAGGTAGACTCAAGGGAAATAATCGGCTCTCTACCACTTTATTTACGGCACAAAACTGACTCTAGCTGTTGGTAAAATAATGATTTAAGGATATGCACTCAACGTAATGAAACAGGCCAGTATTTTTATATTTTTATCATTTAAAGTAAAGATTTAATATATGGGCTTTTAAAGATAATAGAAAAAATTGTAAAAATTCCCATTTTCATAACCATAGATCTTTTAATGTTTGATTTGTTGAATGTTAAAATATGAATATATTATCGTTCTTTCATTTAGTATATAAATATATTTCCTTTTCCTATCAAAATCTTGGAGAGATTTACATCCAGCAGCAGGGTTATTAATAATTTTGTTAGTAGTAGGCTGTGTAGTGAATGTAGGAGGCTGGCCTGCCGTGTACGCGTAGTCGTGTACGGAACATTATTACGGAACTGGATTGGTGTAGGCGGCCAAATGATCAAAGTAGCCGGTCAAATTGGCCGGCGACCGGCTCTTATGGAAAAACCTGCAGCAGCATATAAAATATTATCCTTTTCTTATAAGAGTATGTGGTATGTTATGAAGACATAGTGTCATAGTAATTCATAGCATGTGAATGAGAGAATTTAATATATAAATTTTGAGTAACATATAATTGATTTAAACTTTACAGCAAGGTCCCCTGCGTCTTGTCCCTATCAGCTCTGTAAACCAGTATCATCAGCGGCCTCCAGTCCCAGTACAATTCCAGGTGCCAAAACAGAATGTTACAAATGCTGTTGGTAAGATGATTTGTATATGGATATTCATGAATATCGGAATTACTCTGGTGTCTGTGCCTAAGTAGATTGGGATACAGTGAACATAAATTTTTGAAGCTTTTTCATCTTCGTGGTTGCTCTTTATTACCCAAACCATATATCTGTGAACTGATCAAATCTATATAATGATATAAGTAGATGTATCAAGTTATATTTATCTCATGAAGTGGTATTTTGGGAAAACCATGAAAATTGAGCCCCACATAAATATCTGATTTGATGGTTACTAGAGATGTAAGGATCTTCGATGCATCGTGAACAACAAACCACATTAGTACATCTTGTGATATAGAATTGTAACGTGAGATCTGGAGATATGGCCGTTTGCCATTTTTTGGTTGATTAGACCCATTGCTGTCAGGTTCATGATTATGGTGCAAGTTTTGTTTTCTGGTGGAGTGTTCACTACTCTCTATGGAAGTCCTCCGATGGATGAACTAAAATAGTCTGCATAATATGATGATATAGGTGAACATATAACACTAAGTTGCAGGGCTCTCAATCTGCCAGATTTGGGGCCGAATATCCCAATGCGAAATATTATCTTTTTTCCCAATTTAGACCCCAAGTTTTCCCAATTCTAAGGAAAACACCATTATTTTTCCCAATTCAAAGGGCCCCGGGCCCCAGTCCCAAAATGGGGTGTGAGAGCCCTGAGTTGTGAAGATAAACTACCCAGGAATATATATATATGTATGTGTGTATTTCATTGTCTGATAATGTATTCATTGTAAATTAATAAGGTTCAATACATACATTTTAACTTTTTAAGGTTGTCAACTTCCGAGGTTTTTATTGGAGACGAGTGATCCGCTTTAGTCACACACAAACAAATTTCAATTCCTGCATGGTGTCAATTTCCTATAGTAACTGAGAAAAACATTATAATTCAACTAAATTTGAAATATTTGTTTTCTTATTCTGTAAAGTTATATATTAGACATATTGTTGTTAATATTTAATGCTACATGTGAGATATTTTTGTATACAGCTACCTCGAGGAATTCTCAGTCTACGGCGATGTCAGCAGCATCCATGCTTGTCAACAGTGCAATCATGGCTAAACGCCATCTGGAAGGTACCCAGGACAGTGCCGGACCAGCTAAGAAAAAACTCAAGAAACCTGGGGATGTCGTTGATACAATTGGTACATACATGTTGACAGTCATAATAATGGACCAGTTCTCAAATTCAATAATACTCGAAATTTGTTATTTTTACTCTGCATAATTTGCTTCCAAAACTGGTCAATTATTTTCTTCATAAACCCCCCAAAAATATCCTAATATCCTATTCAGTATGCAGTATTGATGAGGGTGTGTGTTAAAATCCTATGTCATTTATTATCTTCTCAAAACTCCCCAAAATGTCCTATTCAGTATATTGATTGAGGGGAGGTTTTAAAAGTCAGATGGTTCATGTTGGAAGTGTCTTAATTGTGCTAATATAATTCAACAAGATGTCCAACAAGATGTCAAATAAGACTCCTAGTTAACATATAAATACCTTTTATGAAAATAAAAAAATATGCAAAACTTTATTATTAGTATTTAAACAGTTGAGGAAGGCTTGGTAAAAAGTCTACTTATAGACATCACACTCGTCTGTCTTGTTAAGAATATTTCTACTTATAGATTTTGTTTCATTGGTGTTTTTCTGTTCAGACGAAGTACTTTTTGTATTACAGGAAGCTGGGTGCCCCTGGATGAGTACTATTATGGTAAAATGGAGGGAGATCCTTCATATGTAGAGGAGAAAGGAGAATACAGATTCAAGGTTTGTTACACTGTCAAGTTCACAGTATTTCAGGATTTCATCAGGCCTTTTATAGAGTTGCACTCAAACATTAAACTCTTATCAACAGTAGTGATGGAAACTCTGTGAAAATCCAGGATGGAAAATAGTTTAAAATCAGATTAGCTTTCCAGGGTAGTTGATTGATAATATACCTGGCTGGCTGTGTGTTTAATATTCACAGAAAGTGAATGTGTTCTTTGTTGAAGTAATATTTTCATTTGTAACTATTTACTAAAATACTTTCTTACCTAAAATTGACACAAGATTGAATGTAATCTGTACTATGTATATTGTATTTTTATACATGACACAAGAAAATCTAATAGTGCTTATGATCATTTTGAAAAATTATAATTAAACAATCAGACAATTAAATCTGATCATTGCCCCATCACTAATAAACACCATCCCTGATGACAGAAACAAAATATCCTACTGATTCAACTCTAACAACCCAGTATAATGAGGACAGCAATGATGTATAGAATTTAGTAAACATCAGTGTCTCAATTGTGATCTGAATACTTGAAAAAATAAAAACTACTTTATGCTTGAATTGATCAATTAATTGATGTTAATTTGATACAATTTTAAAGCCTGATCGCCTTTTTACAAATCCATCATGACAGCTACAGTAACACCCTACAGGAACTGTAATTCTTAGGGACTATTATATTTTAGGACAAAACTATCAGCTCTACAATAAGATACGTAACTGGTAAAATTTGTACAATTTTTATGCAAGTTTCAGTCTGAATTGTTGTCCTGAATTTTAAAAAATGCCTTCAAGCTCAAACTTTGTAATGTCTGTTGCATGTTGTTGTTGGGCTGTTTACAGTGCTGGTACTGCTCGAAGATGCTGTACAATAACATTAAGGCCATGATGCACATTCAAGGTCATATTGACAGTGGAAAACAACATAACCTTGACCTTAGTGACCTCACTCAATGTAAGCACTGTTACAAACAGTTTGACACGCCGTTTGAGATGCAGACCCACGTAGAGAAGGTGAGTGTGCTGGATTTCTATACTAATAGTAAGACAGTGTTAATTAACTATTGGTAATGGACTGTTTAGAGGCAAGTCTTTCCAAAGATCTCTTGATCAGTCAGCTAATACTTCTTTTAAAAAGCGGTTTTGCTCCATTTTATTTTCTTCTTTTCTTTTTCTTTTTTTGAAATTTTAAAATTTCAATTAATTGTTAATATATTTTTTTATTGATTAATTAATTATTGTTATATTTTAAATCAAATTACAAAAGCTCCCCATTATATGATAGATAATTCTAGAAAAAATGTAATGATTGAAATATCAGTACAAATGTAAAGGTAAATGGGAGTAAATTATAGTCTGTTTCATAATTGTTACAAGAAAGTTATTTATCTCTATATTAATGCTACATTCAGTGTTACACTTGTGATGAAATAAATGAAAATGTTAAAACAAAAAAGAAAACAAAATTCAACACTACTATAGTATTGTGAGATGCTAATTCACCAAAATTATTTTACAGGTGCATATGAATGGAGCAAATGTTCTGCTGTGTAGGATATGTGAAAGGGATCATGAATCTCGAAACGCTCTCACACACCACATGCGACAGAACCATAATGCCTGTGAGATGCCGTACATCTGTCACCTGTGTAGTTTCAGGTCCTCAATGTACAGTGATGTGGTCGACCACTTTAAAAAGGTAGGTAACAGACGTGCTCAATGTAGTAAGACATAGCAGAGCTGTGATTGGCTGGAGGTTCCCATGGTTTCTATTGTGACGTCATAAATTCATGACATCACATGTATTGTGACATCACAAAAAAAGAAGATAAAAAGTGAGAAGCTTACCAGTGTAGAATCAATATTGATGAGATAAAATACTGTTTACAAGGCAAGAGGAGACTGTCATTGTTAGTGGAAACAATTGCCTAATATGGAGTTAGATGTTATCGTCCTAAATTTTACTAGGGGAGCACAGTGATATCTAGAAAAAATCTTTTCTTGATTTTCTAATTGATTATGAAATTTTTGACTCGTTTACAAGAAACCCTATTCCTATTGGAAAAAAAGACTCATTCATTGAATGTTTTCTTCTCAATTTCCAGGTGTTTTGTATGTGCTATTTTAATTAATAAGTCCTAGTAGAAACAACAATTCATTATTTCATGAATTTCTGTTTTTAATATATCTATTAAAAGATTTATCTTACTCTATAGCTTTTGTGCTGACCAAAAACTTCTGATGCTGAAAGCACTAATTTCTTGTTAAATGTGTTTCACTGACCATATTTTCATGTCATTTAAGTATTTTGCTTGTTTGTTGACAAGTTTTACATACCCTCATTGTTAATTGTGATTTTCCTTACAGAAACATGACAGTTCTCCCCACATTCTGTGCCTGTACTGTCTAAAGGTGTTCAAGGTGAAGTTTGTGACCTTGGGCTGGGGTCAGACTCAGACATATTACGGCCATCTCCTCAAGCACCAGTCCAAGGCATCCACTAAGAAATGTACTCTGTGTCGTCTCACTTTCTACAATGTTCCAGATGTCAAGGCGCACAAGAAAAAAGATCACCAAGCTAATCATAAAGGGGTATTAGGTAACAGCCTCATGTTTTTCTTACTTATCCAACTGTAGTAAAGGTGTCAACTCATTATTTAAGATTCATAGAAATTTGACTTTATTACGAGATGGTATACATTGTTGCTGATTGGTTGGTTGCAGATTCCATTTCTCCTCCTCTCAGTGTTCTTGCAGCGTTTTTATTAGCAGTTAAAAAACATGGATACGTTGTCTTAACCCCAGGCAGTTTTTACCTTAATACCCTTCATTTTAAAAGTTTTTTTTTTTTTTTTGTGACAGGACCAAACAATAGGTACTCTACACCTGGTCAAGTGATGATTAAGGTACCAGAGTCAGGTCTGCAGCCAAAACCACAGAGTGTGAAGTCTCTGAACGCCCCAGCAGTCAGTAAAGTGTTAGACTTTGGAGGAACTCGTTTCCCCACAGTGGTTAATTATCTAACCTGTCTGGAATGTAAGATGTCCATGGGCACTCCTGACCACTTCAAGTAAGTATTCATGGCAAAGAGCTAACTGGTCACTTCAAGTATGTCATGCTTGACCGAACTCATCAGTCACTTCAAATATGCTTTGTTTAACCAAACTCATGGTCTCCATATATAATCTGTGTTTGACTTAAGTTGCTGGTCACTTCAAGTTAATTATGTGTAACCAAACTTCCTGGTCACTTTTAGTAAATCATGTGTGACCAAACATACTGGTCAATTTTAGTAAATCATGTGTGACCAAACTTACAGGTCAATTTTAGTAAATCATGTGTGACTAAACATACTGGTCAATTTTAGTAAATCTTGTGTGACCAAACTTACTGGTCAATTTTAGTAAATCTTGTGTGACCAAACTTACTGGTCAATTTTAGTAAATCATGTGTGACCAAACTTACTGGTCAATTTTAGTAAATCATGTGTGACCAAACTTACTGGTCAATTTTAGTAAATCTTGTGTGACCAAACTTACTGGTCAATTTTAGTAAATCTTGTGTGACCAAACTTACTGGTCAATTTTAGTAAATCTTGTCTGACCAAACTTACTGGTCAAGTTTAGTAAATCACGTGTGACCAAACTTACTGGTCAATTTTAGTAAGTCATGTGTGACCAAACTTCTATTTCCAGGAAGTATATTGAGTGTTCCATGTGTCGATTTGCCACAAGTTGCAGCATTGCTTATGCCAACCATATGATGGGATTTCACTCTTGTCAAGTGTCCAGTCTAAATCTTAACATCCCCTGGGAACGTAGAATGGAATCTCCCATGTATTGTCTGTGTGGATTCGGGTCAAGATATGGCAACAAAATAGGTAAGAATACCTGGTGATGACTAGAACTGATCTCGGAAAAATCTTATAAGATCAACAATATGTAGTAATTTCAATCTTATAATACATAAATTCAAAATCTCCAAATTGTCTTGTTTTGTTCTCTTAAGTAATAGAGATATGAATTGTTTGAAAACCTGCACGACCATTGTCAGTTTCCTAGTTGTTGATATTAAAATGAACTAAATTACTTCCAATATTTATCACATAATCAACGTGTAAATTTGTCCATTTAATAATTGTGTATATATCACTTAAGTAATATACCCTTGAGCATTTTTGATTGGCTCTGCCAGTCAGGAACTGATCATGATATGGACAATAATGTTACATCTTGAGGTTAAAATGGCTGCCTCCATTACGTTTTTATTCTCCACATTTTTAGTTCAGAACCTGCCTAAAGATAAATTCTTGGACTTATGTAATAAGAAGAAAAATTAATTAATTACAAATATGATTTTTGTGAAAGTGATCAAAGGTTTCAATTTTTACTCGCTGTAACTCACAAAAATAAAAATTCATCAGCCGTGATTCAAAAAATCACATTGGAAACACAAAAGTGATGTAAGATTTTGTATTTATTATTAAAGTATATTTGACTTTATACTACAGCTAACCATCTGGTATACTGTACCAAAAGGACATGTTATATGGCCAAGCCTGACTTGCCAATGTCTGAGGAAGGAGGAGATGGTAAGCTATTAACAGAATATATCCAAGCTTCACAAAATATCTGGGTTTATAAAATCTTGTATATTCTATTATTTTTTGTTCTCTTTGTTAGCAGTTGAATCATGATAAGCATGATTTGTTACTGGAATAGAAAACAAACGCTTCAAACATCTTTCACTCATACACCACTCTGGCCCCCAAAACAGCAATCTGACTTTTTATACACCACCACAGTCAATAAACCACTTCATTCACCACCGTGGCCCTTAAAAAACACTGCTTTTAGGCCTTCATACACCATGCCACATCAGAAACACAGCTCTGACACATCATTCACTCTTCTGTCCCTGAAAACTCATTTCTGACCCATTACACGCCACTCTGACCTGTAAAACACTACCCTGCCACCCACATTCATTACTCTAGGCCCTGGTTTCTTATACACCATTTTGTCCCCTGAAACATTACTTGGCCCCAAAAAATGCACTGGACCCTCATACACCACTTCAGCCTCTAAAAAACCACCCTGGCCCCATATACACCACTATGGCCCTAAAACACTTTCCTGGCCCCATATACACTGCTTTGGCCCTAAAACACTACCCTGGCCCCATATACACCACTATAGCCCTAAAACACTACCTCAGCCCTTCATTACTTGGCCCCTGAAAAGTGCACTGGACCCTCATACACCACTTTATCCTCTAAAACACTACCCTGGCCCTATATACACCACTATGGCCCTAAAACACTACCCTGGCCCCATATACTCCAATATGGCTCTAAAACACTACCCTGGCCCCATATACACCACTATAGCCCTAAAACACTACCTCAGCCCTTCATTACTTGGCCCCTGAAAAGTGCACTGGACCCTCATACACCACTTTATCCTCTAAAACACTACCCTGGCCCTATATACACCACTATGGCCCTAAAACACTACCCTGGCCCCATATACTCCAATATGGCCCTAAAACACTACCCTGGCCCCATATACTCCACTATGGCCCTAAAACACTACCCTGGCCCTATATACACCACTATAGCCCTAAAACACTACCCTGGCCCTATATACACCACTATGGCCCTAAAACACTACCCTGGCCCCATATACTCCAATATGGCCCTAAAACACGACCCTGGCCCCATATACTCCAATATGGCCCTAAAACACTACCCTGGCCCCATATACACCACTTTAGCCCTAAAACACTACCCTGGCCCTATATACACCACTATGGCCCTAAAACACTACCCTGGCCCCATATACTCCAATATGGCCCTAAAACACTACCCTGGCCCCATATACTCCACTATGGCCCTAAAACACTACCCTGGCCCTATATACACCACTATAGCCCTAAAACACTACCCTGGCCCTATATACACCACTATGGCCCTAAAACACTACCCTGGCCCCATATACTCCAATATGGCCCTAAAACACTACCCTGGCCCCATATACTCCAATATGGCCCAAAAACACTACCCTGGCCCCATATACACCACTTTAGCCCTAAAACACTACCCTGGCCCTATATACACCACTATGGCCCTAAAACACTACCCTGGCCCCATATACTCCAATATGGCCCTAAAACACTACCCTGGCCCCATATACTCCAATATGGCCCTAAAACACTACCCTGGCCCTATATACACCACTATGGCCCTAAAACACTACCCTGGCCCCATATACTCCAATATGGCCCTAAAACACTACCCTGGCCCCATATACTCCAATATGGCCCTAAAACACTACCCTGGCCCCATATACACCACTTTAGCCCTAAAACACTACCCTGGCCCTATATACACCACTATGGCCCTAAAACACTACCCTGGCCCCATATACTCCAATATGGCCCTAAAACACTACCCTGGCCCCATATACACTGCTATGGCCCTAAAACACTACCCTGGCCCAACATATACACCACTATGGCCCTAAAACACTACCCTGGCCCCATATACACCACTTTAGCCCTAAAACACTACCCTGGCCCAACATACACCACTATGGCCCTAAAACACTACCCTGGCCCCATATACACTGCTTTGGCCCTAAAACACTACCCTGGCTGCTCATACTCCACTGTGACTCTAAAACAAACCCTGGTTTCTCACTCACCTCTCTGGCACCAAAAACACTGCTTTGTCATGTTATTCGATTTTAAACATGGGTGTACAACATATTCAGTGTATGGTGTACGAAACAATTTCAAACTTGAATATACAAAATTGTTCAAACTACGGAATTCATGGAAATATTGTGTTAGGACGAGGGAGGCATTTAAAGTTACAAGAGAGGGGTTTATATTTCCCACATATTTCATAAAAAATTGTTTTTCAGAAGATATGGACCCAAGGAGAAAACCTGGAGCGTCCATCTTAGATGTACTAGGTCTGGTGAAGAAGAGGACAGTGACACCTAGTAAGTCATTTGACGTGGATATATAGAGATTTGTGAAATCATTGATTACACAAAACTGTTTCACTTATCATGTTACACTGGGGTTACCTCTTGCAGTAATCCTTTTCTTAATGTATGGTGTTGTTCAGCAAGAGCTGCATATTAATGAAATATTGCTCCCAGGAAAAATAATCATTGAAACATTTAATTTCTAGTTGATCGTAATATAGTAATTGCTCTGTTTATTTATGAGTTTTAATCATTAGGTTTTCTGAGGATAGATAGTGGCGAAATATTCCAGATTGTTAACCCTGTGTATTTAGTGTTATTATAAAATGATTGTGTGAAGACAAAAATACAATTAAGTAAGAGAGAAGTATTTTTGATAAACTCTGACAGAAGGTGATACCATAGAGAGAAATATTTTAGATAAACTCTGATATAGAAGATGATACCGCAGAGAGAAGTATTTTTGATAAACTCTGTGACAGAAGTTGATACCATAGAGAGAAGTATTTTTGATAAACTCTGATATAGAAGATGATACCACAGAGAGAAGTATTTTTGATAAACTCTGTGACAGAAGATGATACTGTAGAGAGAAGTGTTTTTGATAAACTCTGAGATAGAAGATGATACTGTAGAGAGAAATATTTTACATAAACTCTGTGACAGAAGATGATACTGTAGAGAGAAATATTTTACATAAACTCTGTGATAGAACTACACCCATATCTAAACCTTATTTGAATCAGACTTAGATAAATGACACCCAACGCAAATGTTGTACATACTTTTATAAAATGACGGTATAGTTTGGATTGACTTCCTGAAACATGAGGAGCCATCATTGATAAAGTTCTGATTTAATTTCTTCAGAGGAGGAGATTACACATGGTAAGCTCTGTGTTCTAGATGTATCATGCTTGCTGCTACAGCTTTATCATCCTAGTACTAGTTAGTGTCACGTAGAATTCCTTGATATCCAGTCAACGCTTGTCAGTGTGTCAATATCATACATTGTTACCTGACTATGTTCATGTACATTAAGCATTTTCGGCTGTTTCCTTTGAAAATTGCTTAAAAAAATAGTAACGAAGCAATCCACAGTCAAAATTGTTGACTGACAAAGAACATCTCCAATTGCCCAAGCTTCCAAAAGATTATGGTAAAGCGTCTTTCTGATCATGATTGCCTATTCTTGATATGTCTTAGATATGTCAAAACAAATCAAATAATGTATTGATTTGTTTTAGGATAAATAGCCTATATATGATTATTTTGGAAAATTCAGGTAACAAAACAGTTGTTTCATGTCATGTATGTCAGTCAGCAGCTTGCCAAGGGACACAATTTATTGGGTCAGGGGTCACAGTTTATCAGGTCAAGGGAAACCATTTATCAGGTCAGGGATACTATTTATGGGGTCAAGGGACACAATTTATCAGGTCAGGAGACACAATTTATTGGGCCAAGAGACACAATTTATCAGGTCAAAGGACACAGTTTATCGAGTCAGGGGACACAATTTATCAGGTCAAGGGACACAATTTATCAGGTCAAGGGACACAATTTATCGCGTCAAAGGACACAGTTTATCAGGCCAAGGGATATAATTTATCAGGCCAAGGGACAGCGCTTATCGGGCCAAGGGACACAATTTATCGGGCCAAGGGACACAATTTATCGGGCCAAGGGACACAATTTATCGGGCCAAGGGACACAATTTATCTGGTCAAGGGATACATTTTATCGGGCCAAGGGACACAATTTATCTGGTCAAGGGACACAATTTATCGGGTCAAGGGACACAATTTTTCGGGCCAAGGGACACAATTTATCAGACCAAGAGACACAATTTATCGAGTCAGGGGACACAATTTATTGGGTCAAGGGACACAATTTATCAGGTCAAGGGACACAATTTACCGCGTCAAAGGACACAGTTTATCAGGCTAAGGGACATAATTTATCAGGCCATGGGACACCGCTTATCGGGCCAAGGGACACAATTTATCGGGCCAAGGGACACAATTTATCTGGTCAAGGGACACAACTTATCGGGCCAAGAGACACAAATTATCTGGTCAAGGGACACAATTCATTGGGCCAAGGGACACAATTTATCGGGCCAAGGGACACAACTTATCAGGTCAAGGGACACAATTTATCAGACCAAGAGACACAATTTATCGAGTCAGGGTCACAATTTATTGGGCCAAGAGACACAATTTATCAGGTCAGGGTCACCAGACCTATTGGGAAATATGTTTGACTGTTGACTGATGAGGCCTGAAACAATTGTATATTACTTCTGTCTCCTTCTATCTGTCATCACTCATCACTCATACTATTTCCATCATAATATCATCAGACATTGACACAGCCATGAAACAGCTGCCTTGTTTATAGCATGCTTCTGTATGTACCATATCTGGCAGTAAATTTGTCCATATCATATTTCATTGCTAATGGCAACAATTGTTATGACACAGCTGCAAATTTCTGCCTGGTAGAAATATAGGAATGACAATAATAAAGGATCATACATGACTTTCCATTCATATCAGATTCACATACCAAATCTAAGACATTTGTTAATCCTCAATCAAAGCAGATTGAAAAATTCATGACGATCTTCACGAATCTCATTTCATAGGGAAAAGGCAGGTCCAAGAATAGGCTTCCAACTAAATTGGAGTTATTTCATGATATGGCAATATTCACAAAATATATACATGTAGTTTACCTCTGAAAATTTCCCCAAAGTGAAATAAAAAGATTCTTTCCCATTTCCATGGATAGAAGCCTTGAAACAAAAATACGGAACTTTTGCAACAATATTGGCAATTATACCATCTTAGATTGTCACAGAACATAATTGTAAACATTCTTCTGTTGTATCTCTTTCCTTGGTGATGTTACAATGCTTATGATGTCATAAGTTATGACATCACAATTAAAGTAAGAACTTTAAGCCAATGAACAAGGACATGTACAATCGTCTACAGTTGTATGTATATTCATGTTTTATTTGTATATAAATTCTTGATGCAGCTGCCTTAGGTAGGATTCATTGTTTGTCTGATTTTACTTCATAACTTGCTCTGTAGAGAAATTTTAAGAATTATTTTGATTCATTCATGTCTGTCTTTTATTATTAAGTATTAAGAATTATCAGCTTATGCTTGTAACTCTAAATTATCTAGGGATTTAATCCTCAGTAAAGTCTGTATGTAACATTATAACTCTTGATATATCCCTGTATGTGCTCCCCAGTAAAGTCTGTATGTAACTCTGATATATACCTATATGAACTCCCCAGTAAAGTCTGTATGTAATTCTGATATATCCCTGTATGTACTCCCCAGTAAAGTCTGTATGTAACTCTGATATATCCCTGTATGTACTCCCCAGTAAAGTCTGTATGTAACTCTGATATATCCCTGTATGTACTCCCCAGTAAAGTCTGTATGTAACTCTGATATATCCCTGTATGTACTCCCCAGTAAAGTCTGTATGTAACTCTGATATATCCCTGTATGTATATATATCCCTGTATGTACTCCCCAGTAAAGTCTGTATGTAACTCTGATATATCCCTGTATGTAGTCCCCAGTAAAGTCTGTATGTAACTCTGATATATCCCTGTATGTACTCCCCAGTAAAGTCTGTATGTAACTCTGATATATCCCTGTATGTACTCCCCAGTAAAGTCTGTATGTAACTCTGATATATCTGTATGTAACTCTGATATATCTGTATGTAACTCTGATATATCCCTGTATGTACTCCCCAGTAAAGTCTGTATGTAACTCTGATATATCCCTGTATGTACTCCCCAGTAAAGTCTGTATGTAACTCTGATATATCCCTGTATGTAGTCCCCAGTAAAGTCTGTATGTAACTCTGATATATCCCTGTATGTAGTCCCCAGTAAAGTCTGTATGTAACTCTGATATATCCTGGTATGTACTCCCCAGTAAAGTCTGTATGTAACTCTGATCTATCCCTGTATGTACTCCCCAGTAAAGTCTGTATGTAACTCTGATCTATCCCTGTATGTAGTCCCCAGTAAAGTCTGTATGTAACTCTGATATATCCCTGTATGTACTCCCCAGTAAAGTCTGTATGTAACTCTGATATATCCCTGTATGTAACTCTGATATATCCCTGTATGTAACTCTGATATATCCCTGTATGTAAAGTCTGTATGATATATCCCTGTATGTAGTAAAGTCTGTATGTAACTCTGATATATCCCTGTATGTATCCCCAGTAAAGTCTGTATGTAACTCTGATATATCCCTGTATGTACTCCCCAGTAAAGTCTGTATGTAACTCTGATATATCCCTGTATGTACTCCCCAGTAAAGTCTGTATGTAACTCTGATATATCCCTGTATGTACTCCCCAGTAAAGTCTGTATGTAACTCTGATATATCCCTGTATGTACTCCCCAGTAAAGTCTGTATGTAACTCTGATATATCCCTGTATGTAACTCTGATATATCCCTGTATGTACTCCCCAGTAAAGTCTGTATGTAACTCTGATATATCCCTGTATGTACTCCCCAGTAAAGTCTGTATGTAACTCTGATATATCCCTGTATGTACTCCCCAGTAAAGTCTGTATGTAACTCTGATATATCCCTGTATGTACTCCCCAGTAAAGTCTGTATGTAACTCTGATATATCCCTGTATGTACTCCCCAGTAAAGTCTGTATGTAACTCTGATATATCCCTGTATGTACTCCCCAGTAAAGTCTGTATGTAACTCTGATATATACCTATATGAACTCCCCGGTAAAGTCTGTATGTAACTCTGATATATACCTATATGAACTCCCCGGTAAAGTCTGTATGTAATTCTGATATATCTGTATGTAACTCTGATATATCCCTGTATGTACTCCCCAGTAAAGTCTGTATGTAACTCTGATATATCCCTAAAGTCTGTATGTAACTCTGATATATCCCTGTCCCCCAGTAAAGTCTGTATGTATCTCTGATATATCCCTTTATGTACTCCCCAGTAAAGTCTGTATGTAACTCTGATATATCCCTGTATGTAGTCCCCAGTAAAGTCTGTATGTAACTCTGATATATCCCTGTATGTACTCCCCAGTAAAGTCTGTATGTAACTCTGATATATCCCTGTATGTACTCCCCAGTAAAGTCTGTATGTAACTCTGATATATCCCTGTATGTACTCCCCAGTAAAGTCTGTATGTAACTCTGATATATCCCTGTATGTACTCCCCAGTAAAGTCTGTATGTAACTCTGATATATCCCTGTATGTAGTCCCCAGTAAAGTCTGTATGTAACTCTGATATATCCCTGTATGTAACTCTGATATATCCCTGTATGTACTCCCCAGTAAAGTCTGTATGTAACTCTGATATATCCCTGTATGTACTCCCCAGTAAAGTCTGTATGTAACTCTGATATATCCCTGTATGTACTCCCCAGTAAAGTCTGTATGTAACTCTGATATATCCCTGTATGTAGTCCCCAGTAAAGTCTGTATGTAACTCTGATATATTCCTGTATGTTCTCCCCAGTAAAGTCTGTATGTAACTCTGATATATCCCTGTATGTAGTCCCCAGTAAAGTCTGTATGTAACTCTGATATATCCCTGTATGTACTCCCCAGTAAAGTCTGTATGTAACTCTGATATATCCCTGTATGTAGTCCCCAGTAAAGTCTGTATGTAACTCTGATATATCCCTGTATGTACTCCCCAGTAAAGTCTGTATGTAACTCTGATATATCCCTGTATGTAGTCCCCAGTAAAGTCTGTATGTAACTCTGATATATCCCTGTATGTACTCTGATATATCCCTGTATGTACTCCCCAGTAAAGTCTGTATGTAACTCTGATATATCCCTGTATGTACTCCCCAGTAAAGTCTGTATGTAACTCTGATATATCCCTGTATGTACTCCCCAGTAAAGTCTGTATGTAACTCTGATATATACCTATATGTACTCCCCAGTAAAGTCTGTATGTAACTCTGATATATCCCTGTATATACTCCCCAATAAAATCTGTATGCTGAAGTATTTTCATAATGCTGTCTGTCCACAACATCAGCCTTTTAGGTATTCTTTGAACTGTTTTCCTGCACATTTAACAATTTCTTTCGTCTTTGTTCTTATACACACATCAAAATAATAATCCATATACGCCATTAATTTTGAACAAGTATTTTAGGGAGACAGAAATATTTTCACAGAGTTTAATGGTTCTAAATCTGTCATTTCCAGACTTTGTGGATTTCACTTTCACTGCATCTGTGCATGCCTAATCAGAAGACATCCCGTAGATGTTACGTATCTCACTCCTTTTTGGATGGTTTATAACCCTTTTCACAGGTTTCATGTATGACTCCCATGTTGTGTAGAACATGTTTATGATAATTGAGAAGTTTTTATCATTTTTCTTTCTTTCACCTTAACATAGAGCATGATAATTATATGTATAATGTGATCTTCCACATATTTTTTTCATTTCTCTGACTTGTATGTGTTAACATTCAAAGATGATAAAGATTTGTGCCTTAAGGTAAGTTTTGGTGTTGGTGTCAACTTCAGTCTAAGACCAAAGACAATTGGACATCTTTTCATATTCCAATTGAATTTTCAGCTGGCAGACAGTAGACAAAACTGAATTTGAACGAGTAGCTGGTGTAAGATTGACTAATGTAAGAATTTATCCTGACAACATTAGATATAATTAAAATGATATCTTTATATCTTTTTCTTTTGCTGCACATTTCTCTTTTTTCAATTTCAGAAGTGATTAAACGTTCTTCATGGGAAGACCCACCAGCGTTTACTAGTATGAAGACCGAGGTCCCAGATGTAGTTGACCCCACTCCTGCCCCCTCACAGAAAACGGAGACTGAAGAGATCCCACCTGAATTAACTGGATCACAGAAATGGACAACAGTTAAAATCAAGGACTCGGCAGTACCATCAAAGACCTCTGTTTTCCTAGGGGTAGGTGTACTCTTTATATTACTTATGTAAGCTAAGTATAGTATTCAGAAGTATCCCCAACACTCCAGGGGTGACAATCACTCTCTACACACATGGATCATTTCGTGGCAATATTGAAGCCACAAGCAAGGTAATTTCATTGATCTATAGTGGGTTTCAGTTGAAAAAAAACTAACCAATCACAGAGTGTGACACTCCTTAGATGATTAGAAATGAGCAGTACACAACTTCCAAGCCAGTACAACATATCATCATGTGACCTGAAGATTCATTTAATGTAAATCAAAGAATCAAACTAGTCATCTGGTTTTATCCAAAAAGTGTCACACATGGGACCCTGATTGACTATGAAAAGTTCCAGGGGTGCCGAGAGCAAAAGTGAGCATAACCCATACCATACAACTATCAAGTTTAATGTTTGCAGTAACTTTGCATATTGTATAATAATTTTTTTGAACAGAGGCAATATTTTCTATCAGATTACAAGGGTATTATTGAACTTTCAAAGTTTTGAATTTGAGAATGAGAAATGTTTTAACCATTATTTCCTTCTCTTGAAAGGCAAAATTATGACATGGTTATAAATAGATATTTAAGCTCTGACACCAGATGAAGAAATCTTAGCATGTCAAAATAAGTTGATTAAACAACATACTGTAGCATTCTTCAGAGATTGACTATGGCAGTGTTATTTTTAGGATGGCATTTTCACATCTCAAAAAGATTAATTTTTCTGTAAACTATATACAGGTGACAATTTCTAAAAAGAGATAAACGCTATCTTAGTCTTGACTTAAATAAATTAAGCTGCCTTAGCTTGGACTAGGACAATAAACTCAACAAAACAAACACAATCAACTGAAATTTAGAGTTGTTGGCATGGCATTATTTATAGTGTGAGTTGTACGCATCATTTATAGTGTAGGTAGCACGCATTGTTGATAGTGTGAAGGTTGAATTTAGGGATTGAGAATATACATATATGTGTGTCATTTATATCTACAGGTGGAGGATATAAAGATGGCTGAGGAAGAGGATGAAGATATGGATGTTTCTTTGTCCGATGAAATGAAGGCTACTTTACAAAATATTGTGGATGACAACATTAATGAAACTATATTAGACACAAAAAACACAGATGTGGACACTACAGAAGCTGACACATTACAGTCTGAAAATGTTTCTGCGGAAGCTGACACATTACAGTCTGAAAGTGTGACTACAGAGGCTGTCACATTACAGTCTGAAAGTGTGACTACAGAAGCTGACACATTACAGTCTGAAAGTGTGACTACAGAGGCTGACAAATTACAGTCTGAAAGTGTGACTACAGAGGCTGTCACATTACAGTCTGAAAGTGTGACTACAGAGGCTGTCACATTACAGTCTGAAAGTGTGACTACAGAGGCTGTCACATTACAGTCTGAAAGTGTGACTACAGAGGCTGTCACATTACAGTCTGAAAGTGTTACGGATGCTGAGATGTTAAACTCTGAGAATGTTAGTAACAGTGCTGGTAAGTTAGATGACATTGTTAAAAACACATCTGAATCAGGTGTGATATCACCAGGTGTGACAGATGAGTCAGAAAAATCACCTGATAGCTTGTTAGAGGATGCCTGTCTAAGAGACGTTACAGAGAACAACCAGGATGACTCAAAACATTTATCAGAATCTGGAGCCGAAGACAGTGAAAGTTATGTTAAAAATAAATCAAATGATGATGTGGATAATTTAGATGATGATGAAATTAATGAATTATTAAAGGATGATGTGGAAAAGAGTGAAAGAGTTACATCCAAGGATAAAATGGAAGTAGAGTGTGATTCTTTGGATAAGGAGAGGGAACTATTAGGAGATTCCCAAACCAAGGGAGATAATTCTGAAAGGGACAGTAATGTAGCTTCGTCCTCACAAAAGGAAGAACGGAATGCTGCATCAGAGGGATCTTGGAATCAAGATCAACTGAAATCAAAGACAGAAGATACAAGTTCAACTGTAGACCAAGATGTTGCAGAATCTGAATTTGAAAACACTACAGAGAAACATATGGAAGAATCCTCAGAGGACATTCAAAAGGCCTCAGTAAATTCTATGGATAATGATTCAGTAGATAGTAAAGTGGAAGACACTGAAGTTCTACCCTTGCCAGAAGTGATTCAACAACCCGAACAGGAGTCAGAAATTAAAGATAGGGAAGAAACATCTACCATGGAACAGATGGAGACAAATGAACGCTCAGATGAAACTGAAAACAAAGATTTGTTAGAGGATAAAATGGAAGAGCAATCAACAGATTCTTTTAAGAAAAGTGAAGACATCAATGGTTTGTCAAGCAAGGGAGACAATTCATCTTCTGATAGCAAGGGAGACAATTCGTCTTCTGATTATAAGGGAGACAGTTCACCAAACAAGGGAGATCATTTGTCTTCTGATGCTAAGGGAGACAACTCACTGGACAAGGGAGATAATTTGTCTTCAGAAGAAAAGAGAAACAGCTCGCAGAGCTCAAGAGAAAGCTCATGTGCAGAAGGGAGAGAAGATCACTCCAAAGGAGATAGAAAAGTCAATGATAGTGGGGATCACTACAGACAACACTCCAGGGACAGGGTGTGTATTTTCTCAATGCTTTGTTTTTAGGCAAATGGTCTTGATGTCTGTAAATTGTCTGTAATTAGTACTTAGTCATTTTGAATAATATTCTATTTTCAAAGATTTCAAATTATGGCAGATCTCAGAGATTTGATTCTATAATCAAATTAACTGTTGCTTAAATTTGACTAATCATCCCAGTTCGTTATGTGGAATAATAGATCTACATGCATGTTCGACATATTTTCACAATATGTAGCTTGATTTGTCACAAATAAGGAACCAGGTACCTCCATGCAAGTTCATCTTGTCAAGGTTTCATGGGTAATTTTTAGATGTATATTACTTACATTATGGAAATATTTTATGATCTTTGTTGCCTGACATTCTCCTGTGCAACACTGGGTCCAACTGTCATAGTTATAGTAGTATGTTATGTTGTAATTAATTCTATACACATGAAGTAAATGAAACAGTGATGTGTGATAAAGCGTCCTGGGTGGTTAAAATGTAAAATAGTCATTAACCCTCCGTCTCTGGGTTTGTGGGTCTTAGGCCTATGTGGGGCAGTCACCAGGAACTGGTTTTCTTCTGAAACTTAGCTTTCCTCCATCACCCAAACTTGACACATCCTTAGATCCCATAAGACATAAATTAAAGCAACACTGAAGATATTAAAAAGAAAATGATATGGGGAAGGACATTTTAATATACCTTGGAACAAAATTAAGGGATACATGCTAACTTGTGTTATAAATATGCTCACTGAAATCCGAATACCATCTGTTAGACCTCAATTCCTGGCACTTTAACACTAACAGGTAGTCACACTGTATACGTGTATAAGACCACTCACTTATAGACATTTGTTGACTTCCAGGAGCGCTATGACAAAGACAGATCAAGAAATAGAGATTCCAGGTATGATGATAGGGCATCAAGATCCGATTACCATGACAACAGGTCTCAAGGAAACCACAGGTCTTATGGCGATCACCATGGCGACAGGTCACATGATCCCAATAGAGACTGGGACAGAAATCACAGCAGATCTCACAAGGAGGACAGGCAAGTTTGTTAGCTTTTGAGCATGTTATTAGTTTGTGAATATCGGTTTTTCATTTTTATCAATTTGTGTATCATTTTAGATATGAGAGTGTTTGTTGCTGTTTAAAAAAGGATGGACTGTGTAGTACTCTCATTGACACAGTGTTACCATCAGTAGGATGGACTGTGTAGTACTCTCATTGACAGTGTTACCATCAGTAGGATGGACTGTGTAGTACTCTCATTGACACAGTGTTACCATCAGTAGGATGGACTGTGTAGTACTCTCATTGACAGTGTTACCATCAGTAGGATGGACTGTGTAGTACTCTCATCGACACAGTGTTACCATCAGTAGGATGGACTGTGTAGTACTCTCATCGACACAGTGTTACCATCAGTAGGATGGACTGTGTAGTACTCTCATTGACACAGTGTTACCATCAGTAGGATGGACTGTGTAGTACTCTCATTGACACAGTGTTACCATCAGTAGGATGGACTGTGTAGTACTCTCATTGTCACAGTGTTACCATCAGTAGGATGGACTGTGTAGTATTCTCATTGTCACAGTGTTACCATCAGTAGGATGGACTGTGTAGTACTCTCATTCACACAGTGTTACCATCAGTAGGATGGACTGTGTAGTACTCTCATTGACAGTGTTACCATCAGTAGGATGGACTGTGTAGTACTCTCATTGACACAGTGTTACCATCAGTAGGATGGACTGTGTAGTACTCTCATTCACACAGTGTTACCATCAGTAGGATGGACTGTGTAGTACTCTCATTGACACAGTGTTACCATCAGTAGGATGGACTGTGTAGTACTCTCATCGACAGTGTTACCATCAGTAGGATGGACTGTGTAGTACTCTCATTCACGCAGTGTTACCATCAGTAGGATGGACTGTGTAGTACTCTCATTCACGCAGTGTTACCATCAGTAGGATGGACTGTGTAGTACTCTCATTGACAGTGTTACCATCAGTAGGATGGACTGTGTAGTACTCTCATTCACACAGTGTCACCATCAGTAGGATGGACTGTGTAGTACTCTCATTCACACAGTGTCACCATCAGTAGGATGGACTGTGTAGTACTCTCATTCACACAGTGTTACCATCAGTAGGATGGACTGTGTAGTACTCTCATTGACAGTGTTACCATCAGTAGGATGGACTGTGTAGTACTCTCATTCACACAGTGTTACCATCAGTAGGATGGACTGTGTAGTACTCTCACACAGTGTTACCATCAGTGTTACCATCAGTAGGATGGACTGTGTAGTACTCTCATTCACACAGTGTTACCATCAGTAGGATGGACTGTGTAGTACTCTCATTCACGCAGTGTTACCATCAGTAGGATGGACTGTGTAGTACTCTCATTGACACAGTGTTACCATCAGTAGGATGGACTGTGTAGTACTCTCATTCACACAGTGTTACCATCAGTAGGATGGACTGTGTAGTACTCTCATTGACACAGTGTTACCATCAGTAGGATGGACTGTGTAGTACTCTCATTGACAGTGTTACCATCAGTAGGATGGACTGTGTAGTACTCTCATTCACACAGTGTTACCATCAGTAGGATGGACTGTGTAGTACTCTAACTGACACAGTGTTACCATCAGTAGGATGGACTGTGCAGTACTCTCATCGACACAGTGTTACCATCAGTAGGATGGACTGTGTAGTACTCTCACTGACACAGTGTTACCATCAGTAGGATGGACTGTGTAGTACTCTCATTCACACAGTGTTACCATCAGTAGGATGGACTGTGTAGTACTCTCATTGTCACAGTGTTACCATCAGTAGGATGGAATGTGTAGTACTCTCATTCACACAGTGTTACCATCAGTAGGATGGACTGTGTAGTACTCTCATTGTCACAGTGTTACCATCAGTAGGATGGACTGTGTAGTATTCTCATTGTCACAGTGTTACCATCAGACCATACATCAATAAGATCAGGGTATTAAGGTTGTGTAATCACAGTTGCCACTATGTATTATTGGTTAGAAGTCCTTGCTTGTATAACTTGATCTACCTGGACATTAATATCTGATTCTATAGTGGTATGTTATGGTGGCCTTGTATGGTGTGTTTCTATAGTGGTATGTTATGATGGCCTTGTATGGTGTGTTTTAAGTGAGCATTAAATATGTCAGACAGCTTGTGTGTTTATCATAAAAGATGAAATCAAAGTTCTGTGTGATTTTTGAAGGTGATACACATAGTATAGGGACTTATGTGTATCATTACAGTAGCCATTTTGTAACATTTTCTTCATGAATATTTCTGGGTTGTTTTAAAGACCTCCCTCTACCTCACATGTACATCAATTTGCAGTTGTGTAATTTAAATAACAAAAGACATGTATTTATGAAAATAATTTTATTGCATGTTCTGAAATTGCATTCTAGTTACAGAATTATACACCAACACAAACAATTATTGTTTACTGAAAAATCATTCATTTTTGTGGAGGATTTATTTCCCTAAAATTCACAGTTACTATCAACTCACAAATTATTTAAGAAGTGATGTAAAAATCAAAATTGTCACAACGAATTTAAAAGCAAATGAATTCTTAAGATTTATCCACAAAATCAGGCACTAAAAAAAACAATTTTGTAAGACTGTGAAATTTGAGCCCGACAAAAAACTCCACAGTACCTGGTAGTCCTTTTAACTTGTAAGTGATTGTGTTATTACTTTCTGTAGATAATTTGGTGTTTACGAGAAATATTCTTGACAAAGACTACTGATTTAAACTGCTGTCGGATTTTACCTGCTTGTTGTTAATAGTTTTTGTCTCCGTCAATCAATTTCTTTTGATTCTGTTGTTGCTTTTATCTACAGCAAATTTCGAGCAAATTGGGAAATGATATGTTACATTCTAACATGCAGGACTAATTTATTGTCCTCTGAATATGATATTTAAGTGTTAATTTTATCTGAGGAAGTGATTCTCTGTACTGATGAAATGATTATTCTGACATTTTTCAGAAATTGGAGACATTCAGATAATAGAAATTACCATGGCAACCAGGATCACCATAGCTATCAAGGTCACCGTGACAATCGTAGTTACCATGGAAACAGTCAGTATTCTAGAGATGGGCGAGATGACAGGAGACAGGGAAGCTATCATGATAATTATCAGTCTAATAGAAACCATGGCAGCTTCAGAGGTGGTCGTGGTGGCTATGGAAACCGTGGAGGTTACCAGGGAAACTATCGGTGATGTGATCATTAATTTGATTCATGACCGATGAAATTACTTGACAAAAGAAAACTACAACATTTTTGACATTAAGGATCTCCACAAGTTGTTTTATACAGCGTTGTTTAAGGATTTTATGTTTCTGGAGTCATGAAGAATCAAACTGGTTTCAGAATGGCTAACAAAGACTATAGGGCAAGAGATACCTCAAAAAAGTCATCAGGACACATCTAGTATGTAACATACGTTTTATCTGGTGGTTATAGAATTAAATCTGGTCCTGGGACATGTACGTTAAGTATACATTTAGTACACATACTCTGGTACTAGAAGTATACATTAAGTATATATACACTGGTACTAGAAGTATACATTAAGTATACATAAAGTATACATACTAGGATACTAGAAGTATACATTAAGTATACATACACTGGTACTAAAAGTATACATAAAGTATACATACACTGGTACTAGAGGTATACATTAAGTATGCATACACTGGTACTAGAAATATACATTAAGTATACATACACTGGTACTAGAAGTATACATTAAGTATACATACACTGGTACTAGAAGTATACATTAAGTATACATTATCTGGTACTAGAAGTATACATACATAAAGTATACATTACTGGTACTAGAAGTATACATAAAGTATACATACACTGGTACTAGAAGTATACATTAAGTATACATACACTGGTACTAGAAGTATACATAAAGTATACATACACTGGTACTAGAAGTATACATAAAGTATACATACACTGGTACTAGAAGTATACATTAAGTATACATACTATGGTACTAGAAGTATACACTAAGTATACATACTCTGGTACTGGAAGTATACATTAAGTCTACACACTCTGGTACTGGAAGTATACATTAAGTATATATGAAGTATACATACTCTGGTACTAGAAGTATACATTAAGTATACATACACTGGTACTAGAAGTATACATTAAGTATACATACTCTGGTACTGGAAGTATACATAAGTATATATGAAGTATACATACACTGGTACTAGAAGTATACATTAAGTATACATACACTGGTACTAGAAGTATACATTAAGTATACATACACTGGTACTAGAAGTATACATTAAGTATACATACACTGGTACTAGAAGTATACATTAAGTATACATTATCTGGTACTAGAAGTAAGTATACATAAAGTATACATACACTGGTACTAGAAGTATACATTAAGTATACATACACTGGTACTAGAAGTATACATAAAGTATACATACACTGGTACTAGAAGTATACATAAAGTATACATACACTGGTACTAGAAGTATACACTAAGTATACATACTATGGTACTAGAAGTATACATTAAGTATACATACACTGGTACTAGAAGTATACATAAAGTATACATACACTGGTACTAGAAGTATACATAAAGTATACATACACTGGTACTAGAAGTATACACTAAGTATACACACTCTGGTACTAGAAGTATACATTAAGTATACACACTCTGGTACTAGAAGTATACATTAAGTATACATACTCTGGTACTGGAAGTATACATAAGTATATATGAAGTATACATACACTGGTACTAGAAGTATACATTAAGTATACATACTCTGGTACTAGAAGTATACATTAAGTATATATTAAGTATACATACTCTGGTACTAGAAGTATACATTAAGTGTATATTAAGTATACATACTCTGGTACTAGAAGTATACATTAAGTATACATACACTGGTACTAGAAGTATACATTAAGTATACATACTCTGGTACTAGAAGTATACATTAAGTATATATACACTGGTACTAAAAGTATACATTAAGTATTCATGAAGTATTCACACTCCGGTACTAGAAGTATACATTAAGTATATATTAAGTATACACACACTTCAGTACTTGAAGTCAGCAGGGCAGTAAGCATGTCCTTAGAAATAACCTAATGCATGTACAGCTTATGAAGATTTTATGGCTCTGTAATAAGCCCACCTCCTTGATTTTAGTAAGAAGTATTGTATTGATCTCCTTAGCTCACTATATAGTAAATGTGGTGATATACATGAACGAAGTGATTCATTAGTCTGAGGGAGGGGGAACTGTGTAGAGACTCTAGCTTGTGAGGTTAAAGATCATCTCATTGAAAACCATTTAATTCAGGTTATCTTCAGACATCTTAAAGATCACTGGATGCTTACTGCCATTAACTGTTTATGTGCCATATGTAGAGGTGACTACATAAGACATCTACCGGTTATTCTATAAGAACTTCTATTCTATTGACATTACCAACCTGAAGAAAATGATCCAAAACATCTGATGCAATATCTTATAAACACTCGGAAACAGATTTGTTCTGAAAACTATCAGACAACACACTGGAAAAACATTTATACTGAATGTTTTTTTGTTGTTGTTTCTTCTGAAATGTCTTTACTTCTGCTGTTTTCTCACAAGTATAGAACTAATGATTCTTATTGAAAAAGAGTTATATATTTAGTTCATGTTCTGTCATGGAGAAAAAAAAAATAGCTGAAAATTGATATTCTTGCTGGACACGAATGGGATAAGTTTGTGTATGGCGAACGTTACGGTAATTTCAGCTGTGTATAATAACTGCCAAAAATTTACTGTTAACAGAGAATACAGTAGCTGAAGTTTGTTTTATTTCAATACTGTGCTATATGCTGAAATTTTTATACATATATGCACAGTTCATGTGGCTGAAGTAGAAACGAAGAGGGAATGGGGAGGTGTGGGGGAAAGGGGAGAGGCCCATTGTCGGGATGACTGGGGGAAGGGGCCCATTGTCGGGATGACTGGGGGGATGTGGGGGCTCATCGTCACATTTGATGGCTACTTTTTTTTACATCATGCATGAAATGGAAACCTGGATCTGACAAGAATGTTTACCAGCAGAATTTTTTTGGCAAGTTTTTCATATTTTGATTACCCTTGATGAAACATCAGAGTATATTTTTTGGATGACTGAAATGGTTTACTGAGTGGAAGGATGTGACTACCAACAATTACATTTTAAAATCATAAAATTGTTTAAGACTGGGCAAAATAAACACTAGTAATTGTCACCTTTTAACGCTAATTTAGATTTAGATACAGTAAAGCTAAGTAATGAATTAAAACTACACCTTGAGAGGTGTTTGCTCATCAGCTTTATGTTTTATGGCGATTAGTACTGGTTGTAAGTGTTGACAGGAATGTTTCTTACAGTCTGGTCTGATTCTTGTTAGTGTGTTTATTGTTTTGCTGCTTACAATAGAATCTAAGATTAGCGGACAGTAAGACATGCTAGAGTAATGGACGATAATATTATAAAATTTGTATTGTGAAATGAGAAGTAAAATTTTATTATAGATAAATTTTCTCTCAATGATTGTTATTGTTTTGTATTTATCTATTTTTGATAAAAAAATTTATTGCCCTGTTAACGTCAAGGTCATTTAGGAACATGCCAGGTTTGGGTAGTTGAGGAAAGTCAGAGTTCTGGAAAAAAAAAACACTGACCTGTGACCAGTAACTAAAGACAGTTCCACATAGGTCTTCAACCTGTACCCCAGTGGTCGAGGGTCAGTGATAATTATTGTCAGATGTCTTAACCACTCCACACACCCTCTCTCTCACCCCTCTCATCCTCCAACCTGTAACCCAGTGGTCCAGGGTCAGTGATAATTGTCAAATGCCTTAACCTCTCCACCAGGGTGGGGTTGTTTACAAATTCACATTATCTATATATGTATACTGTTGCTTCCCTCCAAACTATTTGTGTGCCCCCTTCCCCTCTTTCTTTTTCTCTCTCCCTTCCCCCTCTCTCTCTTTCTCCCCCCCTCTCTCTCTCTCCCTCCTCTCTCTCTCTCCCCCTCTCTCTCTCTAACTCTCTTTCTTTCTCTCCCTAACACTCTCCCTCCCTCCATCTATCTCTCTCTCCCCCTAACTCTCTCTTCTTCACCCTCTCCTCTTTCTCTCTCTCTCTCTTCTTCACCCTCTCCTCTTTCTCTCTCTCCCCCTAACACCCTCCCTCCTACCCTCTCACTCTCCCTCTATCTCGCTCTCCCCCTAACTCTCTCTTCCTCACCCTCTCCCTCTCTTTCTCTCTCTCTCTCTCTCCCTAACACCCTCCCTCCTACCCTCTCACCCTCCCTCTATCTCTCTCTCTTTCCTTTATCTTAATGCCTACATTTCCTGGCCACTCAAAATTTGATTTTGTGGGCTTCTTCCTGTGCCCCTATCCATTATATCCATGTCCCTCTTTCCTCGTGTCTTTATATCATTGCCCCTTTCCTGTTTCCTGAAATAACTAGTGTTTCCTTTCTAAAAAAAATAATCCCTGTCCCTACACCCTGATCGTTTCATTTCTGCTCCCCTATACTTCGTACTGCTTTCAAAAATATTGGTGGCCCTAATACTGACTTTCCTCCTAACCATTCTATATTGGTTTTCTTTGTGTGTCCTTACACATGCTGTGTATTTACATGCAGCACCTGTATGTTTCTCTCATTTCATCTTTAAAAAGTTGAGTAAAATATTCCATATTTCATTGCTATTCCTCCTTGTAACCATTCTGTTTTTCATTGTCCTGCCTCTATTTCAACGTCGCTACCCTATATTTCATTGTCCTCCCCCTTTTTCAATGTCGCTTCCCTATATTTCATTGTCCTCCCCCTTTTTCAATGTCGCTTCCCTATATTTCATTGTCCTTCCCCTATTTCAATGTCGCTTCCCTATATTTAATTGTCCTACCCCCATTTCAATGTCGCTACCATATATTTCATTGTCCTTCCCCTATTTCAATGTCGCTACCATATATTTAATTGTCCTTCCCCATTTCAATGTCGCTTCCATATATTTCCTTGTTCTTCCCCTATTTCAATGTCGCTTCCCTATGTTTCATTGTCCTTCCCCTATTTCAATGTCGATTATCTATATTTCATTGTTCTTCCCCTGTTTCAATGTCGCTTCCATATATTTCCTTGTCCTTCCCCTATTTCAATGTCGATTCCCTATATTTCCTTGTCCTGCCTCTATATCAATGTCGCTTCCCTATATTTCATTGTCCTTCACCTATTTCAATGTCGTTTCTGTATATTTCCTTGTCCTTCCCCTATTTCAATGTCGTTTCCCTATATTTCATTGTCCTTCCCCAATTTCAATGTCGCTTCCCTATATTTCATTGTCCTTCCCCTATTTCAATGTCGCTTCCCTATATTTCATTGTCCTTCCCCTGTTTCAATGTCGCTTCCCTATATTTCCTTGTCCTTCCCCTATTTCAATGTCGTTTCCCTATATTTCCTTGTCCTTCCCCTATTTCAATGTCGCTTCCCTATATTTCATTGTCCTTCCCCTATTTCAATGTCGCTTCCTATATTTCATTGTCCTTCCCCTATTTCAATGTCGCTAGCCTATATTTCATTGTCCTTCCCCTATTTCAATGTCGCTTCCCTATATTTCATTGTCCTTTCCCTATTTCAATGTCGCTTCCCTATATTTCATTGTCCTTCCCCTATTTCAATGTCGCTTCCTATATTTCATTGTCCTTCCCCTATTTCAATGT